AGAGTGAGAGTGAGAGTGAGAGTGTGAGTGTGAGTGTGTGTGTGTTTTCATCTTCCTGTTCTCAAATACAATCCTCAAGCTTTTCCTGCCAAAATGTTTAATGCTGAAATAAAGCGCTCATCTTACTATAGCGCAGTGTTGATTACTCTTTATTTTCCTTCATCTCTCAGGCTTTATCTCGCTCTCTTGCTCTGCTTTCGTGTCACACAGTGACTAATTTACACTTACAGATGGAGGGTGAAAATGAGCCTCTATATCTTCTCAGTTTTGAGTTGAAGCCCTCCGGCTGTGGATGCCCACGCTCTCGCTCTCCGCGTCACACACATGCCTTCATATCTTCATCAACACTCCGCTCGTTTGCACTAAAAACAATGCACCCCGGTGGGAGGGTTTAATTGATAAACCGCCGTTCACGTCGCTCTGCCTGCCACTCGATAAGCTGCTGCAAGTGGGTTTCACGATCCTGTGAAGAACACAATTCACATCATGCTGCGCTTATATATAGTGGGGTCCAAAAAATCTGAACGCACATCAAAAATTCTAAATCAGAGTTAAACCTGGGAAGTTTTAGTAAAATGCAGGGCAAATGTTAAATGAAAATGGAATGCATTCTGCAATATTTAAGTAATCAAGTATATTTGTGACATTGATCTGGTTTGATTATGAGTATCAAAGGAATAATTCAGGTTGCATATAAATTAAGCACAATCAGCAGCATTTGTGGCATAATGCTGGGTAATAATGGCACAAATAATACAAACATAATTTCTATTTATGCCTAATTTCCTTTAACGCAAACAAACAAATAGAATGGAGGAAATGGGTCCAATTTTAAAAGCAGAAATGTGAAGCATATATTTTTAATTTAAAATTGTGTATTATTTGAGCTGTGAATTTGTAGTCACTTTGGGGTTTTGAGCATTATGTTGGCAATGTAAAAAAGTAAAACCTTTTTTTTTCATGCTAAATTCGTGTTAACATGCACATTGTTTATATCTTGTGGCTGTACTATTGAAACAGTGAGATTTTACAGGATTTTTACTGGTTTTATGAAGGTAAATTTAAGACATTTAAAGACATCTTTAAGACCCATTTACAGATTTAAAGAAACTAAATAAATATAATTAAACTTTTACAAATTAGCCCCATTCACTTTAATTGTAAGTGCCTTACTCTAACGCAGATTTTGGTTTTAAAAAACTGACAAGTCTAAATTAATCTTTGTTGTAATCAACATTATTCCACAAAAACTGTCAAATGAACTTAACTTGTATTTGACCCTGAATATGCCAACAATGCAGGACTGCCATTGTATTGTCTTCAAATTGCAATCATTACAATCACAAGCTATATTAACTGCCTTAGTAATGCTTTGAAAGATCGCATCATATTGTCTTTTTAGGAGAATGTGTCACTGGTAGTATCTTGGAGCTGTGTTTTACTGTCATATGACATTATTTCGTTGCTAGAGGAGGATTGGCCCCAGATGAGTCTGTTTCCTTCAAGGTTTTTCTCCAACACCTCACCACTGATGGAGTTTTTCCTAGAGACAGACATCTGTGGCTGCTCGCTGGGGCTCAAAGCAATTCAGTGGAAGCTCTTGATTTAATGCAATATGTATCATTGAAACGTGCATGTTAAGCTGCTTTGAAATTATCTGTATTGTGAAAAGTGCTATACAAATGAGTATGAATCAAATATTCCTTTAAAGGGGTCATAAACTGCCTTTGTTTTTTATTTTGTACTGTTCTCTGAGGTCCACTGTTATCAAGATTTTTACATCAAAAAAACTCATAATTAAAAAATAATACGCTATTTTCTGTCCTGTTTTTAGCCCCCCTCATCAGAACGCTCTGTTTGAATAGGCAAAGTAAACGGAAGTAAACGCCCACTGCTATGATTGGCTAACAGTTGTGTATGTTTGACAGCATACATTCATTGCTCATAGACGAACGCTGCTGTGATTTGGGTTAAAAACGCATAAATACTCATTTCAAACGATCTGTTTAACAGACAAAGCAATAGTGATCACGTAATAAAAACAGTTATTCACACTTGTGTGTTTTGCGACATTACTGTCGGATCCAATATAGTCGCACAGCATCGTCTTTTAGTTTCAATCTTTCTGAAAATCCTGCGTCGAAGTGTGCCTTGTTTGTAAACGAATCCGCGGTAAAATGAAGTGAACAAAGGACCAATTTCATACTGATGCGGTCTGGATCTTCATTACAAATAAAGTTCATTCAGTCTTTCCTAACGTTGGGATCAGAAGGAAGGCAATGCAAAGACTGTTTTTCCTCAACTTGGCACTGAACAGTGGCTTAATGTCTTCAGAGCATCTTTATCATTTGGTTTCTGCATAGACCTGCACATTCGTCTCTCATTATTTACACTATGTGCACAAATCGGTGGGCGGGGCTAAACAGGCAGCGATGTAGAAGCAGGTGTTGATGATCTTCTGCGGAGGCGGAGCTTATCCACACTATTACATCATAGAGCAGAACATTCCACAAGCTGTCCTTTTGGCTTCAATATAAGCTGTTTTTAGACTAACGAGAAAGTTTTGAGTTCTGAAACCTACTAGGGATGGGTCACGATTTTCGAATATTCGATTAGTTGATTTAATTAGAGAATATCGAATAGGTTGTGCGATTGTCTTAAAAAATGTCCCTATGTTTTCCTAACACATTGTCTCACGCGCACACTGTAGACTTGCGTGGCATTAAAAAAAGACTCACTGTAGACTTGCGTGGCATAAAAAAGAAGACTTGTGTAGCATATAATGGTTACAGTAACTTGGGATGATGTCAAATAAGAGTTCTGTGCGGACCACAAACACCCCCGACTGGGTTAGAGGTGTGGCTGAATCCGTGTTCAGAAAGGTGCGGAAAACAAATAACGCGTTCTACGGAGCCACTAAAGGGACACGGTTAGCCACTTGCTAGCGGTAGCCTGTTACATTACAGTACATAGCATTTCACTTACCACATAAACAGAGTAAGGAGAGATGACTGATAGGATGATGGCAGATGATTTGCAGATCCTGAGCACTACTGAGAAACATCTAATCTTGTAAAATGTGTGGTAAGTACTGCAGAGTGCTGCTCCGTAGTGTGATGGCTAATCTCGAAAGTGAAAGTAAAAAACAAGCACGCTTTCAAAAGTGATTTCAATGCCCCGCATATTAATAACGGCTCCCTGATGCAGTATAATCTGACAAGATGCGCATTAAATATCGCATGCAATTTATCGTGCAGCCCTAATAATTACGCAACGATATATTTGTGAATTTTTTTCCTCCCATCTGGTATTTATTCCCTTTAGGGATTCAATTTTTTTAAATGGAAATGTCCTAGCCTTATGAGCAGTTCATTTATGCTAATCGACGGACTGTCAAGTGCTATCATTCGGCTATGTTTATTATATTAATTTGTTTCAGCACTTTACAATTATTATATGGCTTGAGTTAAGGTAGGCTATCTTCTGAATTAAACAGTTTATCATACAGATTGAAAGCGTGAATCCCGTCTCTCTCCCTCTCTCTCTGTTTATGGGTGTTTGTCCGTGCATGCGGGGGAGGGGTGCGATTTTCGAGTAATAATCGAATAATACCCAGCGATTTTCGGATATTATTTTTGCTTGGAATGCCCATCCCTAAAACTTACAGGATGTTTTTATAGCACAATAACCTCATATATGTCAAAAAATAATCAAGGGAATTTGGTTTCTCAGTTCATGACCCCCTTTAAATTGGAAAAACAGAAGCATTTTCACTAGTAGTCTCAGAGCCGTGATTGGTTTGGATGGGTCTAACGGTCGATGTTCTTGTTGTTTCAGATCAGCACCACAGAGGTGGAGACTCTTCTGGGTCGGCTGCCCTGCACGTTTAAGCAGGAGTTGACAGGCGTCGGGGCGAGTCTGGAGAAACGCTGGAAGTTCTGTGGGTTTGAGGGCATTAAGACGGCGTAGAGACACGGGTCGGGGTTCCCGCTAGAAAAACAAAAACGGCTGATGGACCGGAGGGGTCACAACCAATCACCTGCCAGCTCTCCGCGTCCATCCGCCGCCCCTCTAGACACTCTAGACCTGGAGATCCTCAAGACTTTGGTGTGTGTGTGTAGTATGATTTAGTATGTGTACACACGAGCACACTTCGGCCTGTGTGTTTATGTGCAGCACGTGAACGGACCGTACGCTTGTACAACACAACGGAAAACTCATCGGGTAAAAATCAGGGTTTGCTGAACCGAGGACTTGAACTGTCAACATACATTTTCTTGTTTCACCTCTGATTTGTAAAAAAGAAAAAAATATATAAATAACAGGAATATATTTCTTTTCTCTTCTGTATAGGCGGCAGAAAACAGTTGCATAGAATCTTTTGTTCACATATCCTGTAAATGTTTGAATAACTTGCTATTTTTAAATAAAAAAAGAACACAACCAGACCACTTTATTAGTTTAACAATCTAGGCCAGCGCTTCTAAAATCTTCAAAAGTTCCTCTTTCAGCACCGCTGCTAATTAAAAGAGGAATCGAGGGATAAAGATCAGATTTATGCCACACACGTCCGTTCAAACCTTCAGGCTTTTCCTGCTTAAGCTGCTGACTAAAGGAGCGCTCCTCCGCTCTTCCGCTCTTCCCCAAGTGATCTGAGCCGGTCTGCTGTGTTCTCCCATCTCATATCTTTTTTATATGTGGGGTTTTTTCATGCAGTGGACTGGTAAGCAGCGCTGCTGTTTTTGCGCAGAGCTTGTGAAGTCTAATTAACGATCAGAGCGGTGTATGTGTGGGTGTTTGTCTGTTAGTCAGCAGTAAACGTCTCGTTCGGAGAGGAGAGAAGACTCTTCCGGCGGCGCAGTCAAGCGTCACTAATGCTCTTCTGTTGTGCAATTTGTAAGGTTATTTTTTCACTTATTGCTGAGGGAAACTAAGGCTTCACATGATTGGTTCCCACTGCCCCTTTTCCATTTCCTTGGGCCATATGTATGAAAAATTAGTTTCAAATGCTTATCAGACATTTGGCCTCTCAAACATGAATTAATAATGGCTAATGATTGTTTCTTCCGTCGTCAAACAATCCTTAATTCATTATTATTTCTTTTTGCAATGCATTTTTAATATATACACTCCAGATGGACTGAAATATAAGTGGATAGAACATGAACAAGTTAGAGGATTCTGTCTCTTAAATATGAATATTTCAATGCTCAGTTTTTTGTCCCATGGCACACCGTGTTGTTTAAATGTCTCATCATTCCAGCTTAATGCAAGTTTAATCATCAGCATTTGTGGCATACCACTAAAATGTGTTTTAACTCATCCCATTTTCTTAACTTAATTAAGAAATACAAATCTAGATTATGGTGAGGCACTTACAATTGAATTGAGTGGGGCCCATTTTTGAAGGATTTAAAAGCAAAAATGTGAGGTTGATGCTTTTATAAAAGCACCTATATTAATTATTTTATTGAAAAATGCATTATGTGAGCTTTAAAGTTGTTCTCTTATGAATATGCAGTATTTTCATGGCAACATAGTTGTAAATTTAAATATTTTGCTTAAAAATATTAAAATAAGATTTAACACATCCTTGCTGAATAAAAGTACCATTTTCTTCCAAAAAAAAAAGAGAGAGAGAGAAAGGAAGAAAGAAAAAAAGAAAAAATTGCTGATCCCAAACTATTGAACAGAAGTGTATATGGTTACAAAATATTTCTATTTTAAATAAATTATGTTCTTTTCAACTTTTTATTTCTAAAAAAGTATCACAGGTTCCCATAATTAAATAAATAAATAAGCAGCACAACGGTTTCCAACACTGATAATAAATCAGCATATCAGAATGATTTCTGAAGATCATGTGACACTGAAGACTGAAGTAATGATGCTGAAAATTCAGCTTTGTATCACAGAAACAAATTACATTTTAAAGTATATTCAAATAGAAAACCTTTTTTTCAAATTACAATAATATTTCACAATTTTACAGTTTTTTTTCTGTGTTTTTGAACAATAAATGCAGTGTTGGTGAGCAGAACAGACTTTTTCAAAAAAAATCTTTAAAAAATCTTACTATAATTAAAAATCTTACTTATCCTAAATGTATTTATATATACTGTATATATATATATATATATATATATATATATGTGTGTGTGTGTGTGTGTGTGTGTGTGTGTGTATAAAAATTACATCTATTTTAATAGTTATTAAATCAATTGTATTTTATTTAAATCTGCGTTAATTTATTACAGCATTTATTTATTTTTTAATAGTAATCAGCATTTCGTCACAAATGCTGTTGACTGAGCTTAACTGAACTGAACCCAGAATATTCCTTTAAATGCATCAGTTCCATTAAATGTGAACCTGGAGTCCCTCTTCAGATGCTGTTCGTCAGCTCACTCTCATCCAGCTTTTACCGGTTTAGAGGTTTTTGAACTCGGACGAGGAAAACAACACAAAAACTGCACAGATGCAGGACCAGCGTAAGGGTGAGCGTACAGTACGTGTCCTGTTTTCCTCTCCTCGTTCCTCTATTTTTGGGAAGCTCCAGCCGCTCCATCAGAGCACTTAGCAGGAGAGCCGTGTGCATCAATTCACCGGCCTTTATGTGGACTCCATCAGTGTCATTCAGCCTGCTTTTGACAAATGGCTGTGGTTTTCACAACGACAAGCACAGATATTCTCTGGAATACCATTATTTTGTGTTGTTGTGCTATTTATGTACTTTATTTAGTCCTGACAGGAATCCTCCACTTTTCAAATTATCACACAAAACCCTAAACAGACTAATTAGATCTCTCTGTGGAGCCCTGGAGATGTTTCTCATTTCTTCTTTACGCAACACCACCGAGAGTCGCTTCAGCTCTCCATTACCTTCTTCCTCTGGAAGCTGGAGTGTCCTTCAGCACCTGGCCTTGTTTTTGAGCTCTCCTAAAGAGCAGAGCGGCTCTGAATCCAAAGGGCAGCGATGTCAAAGCGCAAACACCCGAGAGTCTGGCTCATAACCCGTAATCCCCCCAATGCCGTGCTCCTCACATCCTTTGAAGTAATTGGATATGGAGTGATCCAGCTTCTGTGGATCTCTTTTTGGGGGGCCGTATCTTGATGCTTCGGCTAATTAGTTCACTCTTACCTGACTTCCTCCAGTCAAAGTGAATCCAGGCAATTACAAAGAGCGGTTCCCTTGAGCGATGGGATGAGAGGGAGGTGATTGGCTCGTAAGGAGAGCGAATGTTCCCGTCGTCCCGCGCAAGTGAAAGCTCCTCATTACGCCACAGCAGTCAGAGCGCATGACTGAACGTGTCCATCTGTTTAAGGAGGAACCCGTGGAGGTTACAGAGGGTCGCCACTTCCATAATAATGGTTATGGATAATAGATCAGAGCCAATACATGGAGTACAGAGGACCATGAGCTCCCCCTTCTGGACAGAGAGAGAGAAATGTGTGTGTGTATGCTAATTTCAAGATTCTTTGATGAACAGAAAAATCAAAAGAACAGTTTATGTGACATAGTAATCTTTGTGACATTATAAATAAATGATCAAATCAAAAAAGGGAAAAAATAACAATATAATCATCTTTTTACCTAAAAACAATTTTCTTGAAAGCGTTACGCCTCTGTCTACTGCCAACAGAATGTAAGTAAATATTTCATAGGTACTTGCTTTGCCACTTTCATCGGTCATGTTGACTTTACCTTGTCATAAATTATAAACACTATGACATATAAAGTGGACTATCATAGAATTATAGGAAAGGGTCAAAGGTCACCACTTACATCTAAAAGTTAAGGTGATATTGGAGCTCAAGGTAACAACTGCACTTCACAGTGTGTTTGTTTTTTGTCATAAAATTGCAAATCAAGTGTTTGCAGTGATCTCGTTTGCTCCTGGCCTTTTACATGAATTAATTTGAGGTCCTGTTGTGTTTGATTTGAAATGCCAGCGGTCGTGTTACCTTTGAGACGACACGCTGCCTGACTAATGAACTACAGACACACTCATCTTCATTACGCCGCTGACCTTTCCAAACAAATGGAGAAATAGAGGACTTCAATCCAAGTGATTGAGTGAGATCTCAACTATTTTTAAACGTGAAAATAACTTTGTTTTCATGTTCAGAGTCAGGCCGACGCTCCCAAAAGTGACTCTTGTTTTTCCTCTGACTTAACATGCGTTTTGTCTAAATCTCATGTTCTAAAGATGTATTTCCTCGTGTTTACTGGGAAAAGTGAGCTGCGTGCCTCTAAATAGATCTGATCTGTCATCAGCTGATTCATGAAGTCTTTGAACAAAGCAGAACGTCAGAACTCTCTCCTCAAAATAATGAACTGAAGTGGCTTGTTTTCTACCAGTGTTTTACTAAAAGCCTGTCGTCTCATGCTAACAGCGTGTAATAAAAGTAAAACGGACTATATTCCAGTAGCAACATTATTAAAGCAGCATTATGTAACTTTTTCTGTGTTCACAATTTGCAAAAGGTATATAATGAGCGAGTTCATCATGAATTCATCTTCCAAACCGTGTTTTTGTGTGTGTGTGTGTGTGTGTGTGTGTGTGTGTGTGTGTGAACAGCTATATAACTGTCCAAATAAAAAGTGGTGGTTATTTTAAATCTAATTTCCTTTCTTAATATTACATGTATAATAATATGTATACAATACTGATTGAGGTCAGTAATGTATTTATTTATTTGTTTGTTTGTTTGTTTTTAAATAAGTCTCTTTTGCTGACCAAGGCTGCATTAATTTGTTCAAAAAAACAGTAAAATATTATTACAATTTAAAAGAACTGTTCTTTATGTGTATACATGTTCAAATGTAATTTATTTCTGCGATGCAAATCTGAATTTTCAGCATAAGAGAAGTAGCTCCGGTTGGAATGTTCTTCCGCGGGATGTGTGCAGCTCTGTTTATTAACCGCTAGAGCGCTGAAAGTTACATAGTGCTGCTTTAAGTAGTTAGCTTCGCACTTTTACTCGTGTTACCTCACTCGAACACTAGGCTTGCTGTAGAGGTGATGCACGAGTAATATCATAAAGAGTGCAACAGCAGGTCTAAAGCTGTAGCGCTGCATATTTATGAGCGAACAAAAGTTCAGTCTTGTTTGTTCTGCCACCCATGAAACCTGCGGCATGTCACTTTTTTGACAAAAACTTCGAAACCATTCAAATCTAGTCATGTTTTAGCGTGCATGTCATCGGCTTCGCTTAATGATGGTGACTTAGTTAACTTTGTCTAACACTGTTGCCCTTAAGTCACATTTATTAAATCTAAATGAGCGAGGCC